GGTTGGATGTAGCCATCAGTCTCCAAGAGACAAAGCCCAGTATTTTCAAGTCTGTTACTTGAAAAGCAATATGCAAATAGGAGCAACACTTATTTTAGGCTAGATATCATCAGGGATTTTAACCCCAAACACTAGTCTCAGAGTGCATGGTTATAATGAGTATATAAATTATTCAGGTATTTTCAGCCCTATGCAATTGAAAGAGGTCAGTTGAAAGACTATTCCTCTCCTCCAAGACAAGATTTCTCTGTGTTAGAGTCCTGGCTGTCCTGGGATTCACTTTGTAGACCTGGCTTGGCCTCAAACTCACAGAGATCTCCTGCATCTGCCTCTTGAGTGCTGGGATTAAAGGCAAATGCCACCACTTTCCAGCAAAAGACTCCCATAATAATTATTATTATTTTAATGTAAGAATTTTCCTTGTTAGCTGGGTGTTAGTGGCACACACCTTAATCTCTCCTGCATCTGCCTCTTGAGTGCTGGGATTAAAGGCATATGCCACCACTTTCCCACAAAAAAATCATATAATAATTATTATTATTTTAATGTAAGAATTCTCATTGTTAGCTGGGTGTTAGTGGCACACACCTTAATTCCAGCACTCGGGAGGCAGAGGCAGGGGAATCTCTTCTGAGTTCGAGACCAGCCTGGTCTACAAGAGTGAGTTTCAGGATACCCTCCAAAGCAACAGAGAAACCCTGCCTCAAAAAAAAGTTTTCCCTGTTAATGTACTGGACATTAGAGAAAGAAATTAAATTTTAAAAAGTAACTGCTTTTTTATCAAATAACCATTCCTGCAGTATGGAGATGTTCTTATCAAAATAATTTGCTATAAGAGTTTGAGAAATGGTTCAGCAAATAAGAGTACCATTTTCTCTCCTGGAGGACCATGGTTTGGTTCCTGGGACCCACATGGCAGCTCACAACCATCAGCAACTCTAATTCCAGAGGTGCTGATGCCCTCGTCTAGAATCCATGGAGACCAGGTACTTGATACACAGACATACATGGAGGCAAAGCACTCATACACTTAAAATAAAATAATAAATAAATGTTTCTAACAATTAACTGTGGAAATGATTCCTCTTTCTACATGCTAAGGCAAAGAATTAGCAGGCTATTGAAATTGTGCAGTCAAAGATCATCACTTGTAGATTATCTTTCCAGGAATTTTAGAGTTTTGTGAAACACACCTTAGCCCCTATGAAATGATTACAACCCAGGGAAACTGGAGGTCAGTGAGGGAAAGGTGCAAATGTGTTGAATGATACATCCCATGTGTACAAACATTCATTCATTCAATGCCCAACATTACCATGTGGTAGAGGAGTCAATACCACATTTTCAGGACGAGGAAATGGAGACTTAGACTGCCATTGGGGCTTGATGTAATCCGCACAGGCAATAAAAAAAATACTTAAAGGGAACTTCGAACTAATTTAACTTAGCTTAGCCCCTTTATATTGTGATGTGATTAATTTTAAGCAGAAGAAATAAACAAAGGTTGTCATTTTGCCTGCCCTTGTTAATATAGAGCTGTATGCTCATTGCTTTCCATAGATGCTTTCCAAGGATTGCTACAAACCTGTGTAATAGCATTCATCCCAAGTCTCTGCAGAAGGAAACTGAGGTGTTGACACCTTCTAATTGTTTTCGATCATAGAGAATGGAGTTTCATATTTAAATCTGTCTGACTTCCAAAATTCTTTCAGCAGATAGTTCAGCATTTGTCAGTTCTAAAAGGCTGGGTCTCAACCCACAGTAGACAGGCATTTCGATTTTGTTTTTGACACAGGAAGATCTCATTAGTCTATACCTGTGGATTTGGCATCTGGGATAATTTAGAGATAAGCCAAAGCTGTACTTTTTTGGAACAAGATTGTTTAACAAATAAATGGTGTAAACGAGTTGTTGAGAGGAACACTTTGAACTACTTAGGAAAACAAGTCGCATTCTGGGCCATCAACAGCCAGAACAATTTCTGGTGCATTGTTGATTCTCCACAAATGTGGAAGGCATAAACTCCAGGAGCACTCGACTTCCCAACAACTCAGTGTTAATTACCGATGATATTTAGTTATTCGCTATAACAGCTCCATAAGGACTGCTTCCCAGGAAACCCCATATTAGTTTTGCATATGTTCAAAAGACTGTTACATACTTAAATATGACCATGCTGCCAGTTCTTTAAGAATTAAATTGCATAAAACGGAATTTTCACAAAGCCCTGCTGGTCTTCCCTCTCAACCAGTATCTAGCCAGAAATGAAAAACAACTTAGTCATTCATTCCTCTTTAGGCTTACAAAAATGAGAGAAAATGGAATAAAAAACATATTACCTATTGCAGTCACTTCATGCTCTGCTTCCCCTCCTGCCCCCTCTCCTTCTTTGACAAGAGTCACACAGTGGGAGGCTATGTGTTTAGGAGCTGGTTCGCTTGATTTGTAGAAGTGGTGACTTTATTGGCCCCTGACTGCTTGGCATTATCAAATGCCACTTGAGCAGTGAGCTGGGCTGTGTTATTCATCTCTGAAAGTGTGGCCTTCAGGTTTATCTTGAGGAATAAAAACTTGGCAAAGAGGAGGGAATGTGTGTCAACAGGAAGAAAAGCAGGAGAGAGCCAACTTATTTTTTCTCTTGTAACCAAGGCACTTTATCTTTTTGAATGGCTGTTTTCTTTTTAATTGTTTTGCTTCTTTAGCCTGGCCAGCAAAGATGGTCAACTGTGTCTTTTCCTGCTCCCTGTGAGCTTGGTGGATGCATTTTTCTAGGTTTCGTACTGAATGAGGCTCCATATTCCAACATTTTAAAGCAAGGTTTCATAATATCTCACTTTGTCTATCCACAGTTCTTATCAAAGGGGCAGAGTTAGTGCACAAAGTATGGAACCGTGTGGGGCTCCAGGTGTGCACATTTATTTGAGTATGTGAGCTAGTGCACATGTGTTTGTGAGAGAGAGAGAAAGAGAGAGAGAGAGAGAGAGAGAGAGAGAGAGAGAGAGAGAGGTGGGATTCTATTGGGGATGATAGTGTGTTTCCATTGTTACATTCCCTTTCTCTATACTCATACTATCTGTATACCTCAGATGGAGTGGAGTGGAGGAATGGCAGGAGACACAGAAACAAACATCCAGTGGAAGTCACAGCTTCACACAGACACAGAATTACCAATAAATATTCAGTAATACATCTTTATACTGGGAGTGCATCTTCTTCTGGAAACAGACCTGTTAAATTTCATGCCTATTGCATTCGGCATAATCATCTCCGAGAATGTTGACTGTGCTGGAAGCTTCTTTCCTCTCCTTGCTTCTCATATGGGGGAATTTGATTCCAGATGTCCCAGAAATAATTCAAAGTTATTTATTGCCATTTAACAGCTCAAGCCAAGACACCATTTTGACTAGAATTTAAATGTGAAATGCTACAGCTCAAACCTCAAGCTGAACAGCATACTTATCTTCAAACGGCTGGATTCCTTTTCTCTCCTCGCTTTTGTACATGCTGGCCACCCCGGATCCTCACAGACCATTTTGACTAGAATTTAAATGTGAAATGCTACAGCTCAAACCTCAAGCTGAGCAGCATACTTCTTATCTTCAAACGGCTGGATTCCTTTTCTCTCCTCGCTTTTGTACACGCTGGCCACCCCGGATCCTCACAGACCGTGTACTAAGGCATTTCTCATTGTTTGTTCCTCAGAGAAAGCTCAATACAACTCTCCTAAGCCAAAATGTCTTCATCGTCACCCAGCACTTCTGTGCTCTTCATTTTGTCTCTCATATACATGATACTGTGTCTTGCTTTCAGCGCTGTGGACTCACCTATGAAGTAATAACCTGCCCAAAAGTTTCTCTAGTAGCCTTTAAACTCTTTATTAGAAGTTAAAGTGACCTCTATCATCGTGATCTTTAAAGAGAATATAAACTGCAAGGTCCTTTAAATGATTAATTGTGCAGTCCCTTTGTATTAGGGAATCCTAGCTTTGTTTTATCAAAATAGGAAACAAAAGTTCCCTCTTAGGTGATACAATAACTCTAGAAGGCATAGGAAGAAGGAATACCAAGAATTGAGTCAAAAAATATCTATAGACCTTGCCCTTATCTCCAAAAAATCAAATCAAAGTCTGTGGCAATTAATTCACTTAAATTTCTTGAGTCCTCAAGAAATGCTAGGCTTGAGAGGCCTTATACAAGAAGGCATAGGAAGAAGGAATACCAAGAATTGAGTCAAAAAATATCTATATTTTGCCCTTGTCTCCAAAAAATCAAATCAAAGTCTGTGGCAATTAATTCACTTAAATTTCTTGAGTCCTCAAGAAATGCTA